GCTGACTCTGTAAACCGCTTAGCGAGGGCTGAAAGCCCTATGAAGCGGTATATAAGTCTAACTGCTATTGCTATTCTTTTAATGTTGTACGCCGCCCTGAGTCCTTGGGAGAAGGGGGGCATATAAATCGAATAAACCTCAAACCTATTGGGTATTTACTGGACAGATGCCCTTCCTGATGCCTACACAGAGTTAGCAGCAGACAATTACACATAAGCATCTGTCGCTGCCTAGGAGGGAACTCATAGCTTCCTGAGCTCTGCTTCTATCTCTGTTATATTTTCTTATTTGAGGGGCTTCAAAAGAAACCCCAAGACCACCAAAGGACCATCACTGCCGCAAGGAAGACCAGAGCTGCATTTCTGATGAAGTGTTTTTCGGAGGACTTGCTAAACTTTTGGCCGTGACCATGGTTCCGGAACCACTCCACCACTTCGCGGAGGCTGTAATGCTGAGGCTTGTAATCCAGTTCCCTTCTAGCTTTGGCTAGGCTGAAAAAATGAGTCACGCCGGTTTTGTAAACTTCGGTGCGAGTGAGGAGGGGCTGAAAGTTATACAGGCGTCCCACTGCAAAGTGGACCAGTTCCGTAACAAACGCAAAGAAGTAAACCAGGGGCAGGGGGAGGCGGAGGGACGGGTAGGTGTAGCCTAAACCTTCCACCAAAGGGCGGAAAAATTCAAAATTATTGACCGGCCTCCCATCCGAAATGAAATAGGCTTGGCCAGCAGCCGTATGGTTTTTGGTGGCACCCAGAGCCTCTGCCGCTAAGATGTGAGCTTGCACCAGGTTATCTACATGCACGAAGTCCACCAGGCTGCTAGGATTCCCGTAGACACACCGGAACCATCCTTGCTCAACGTAGTTGACAATCCTTGGAAGATGCCTCTGCTCTCCTGGTCCATAAATGCCAGCAGGCCTTATGGCGCAGGTCCTCAAAATTCCCCGGCCATCCCTTAGGACTGTCCCGTTGGCCTCCAGAACTTTCATTTCAGCCAAAGCTTTGGTCCTTGAGTAATGGTCTGGGTGAAGATGTAGGGGTAGATAAGGCCAAGATTCATCTCCATTTTCTATGACTTGGCCTCCAAAGACTACATTGTACGTGCTTGTGTATATAAGTTTGGGGACTCCAACTCTCCTGCAAGATTCGATGATATTGTCGGTTCCTTTGACGTTCACCTCTTCTATAAGTTTTGGGTTGAGCTGCTCCCGGCCAGACATTCCATAGGAAGCAACATGGAAGACACAGGACACACCCTGGAATGCTTCTTCCACTTCATGGATCGCGCAGATGTCACCCTGCACAAATGTCACACCCTTGGGCATCTCTTGGGTAGGCTTGGAAACATCAAACAGGATCACATCCACTTGGCTCTTGGCTAAGGCTGAAGCCAACCTGGAACACAACAAGGAATTAGTACAGCTGCTGAGGACAAGAAGGAGGCTTGCAACTTTGAAGCAGCAGATCAATCAACGGAAGCGTCAGTTGATTAAGAGGGCAGGGCTGGCATGTTATTCTGATAGGAAATAAAGGCCAAAATTGTAGAGGTGGTTCTCGTTTATTAAGCTCCTTCCCACATCAATGGAGCCTCACACACATGGGGAAGAGAGAGGGGAGAGAGAGAGGGAGGGAGGGAGAGGAAGGAAGAGATAGACAGACAGACAGACAGACAGAAGACAGACAGATAGACATGGATGGAAGTAGAGAGATAGAGAGTGAGATGGGGAGGGAGAGTGAGATGGAGAGAAAGAGAGATGATAGATATAAGAGAGACAGACAGACAGACGATGGATGGATGGATGGATGTAGAGAGAGAGAGAGCGAGATGGGGAGAGAGAGCGAGATGGAGAGAAAGAGAGATGATAGATATAAGAGAGAGACAGACAGACGATGGATGGATGGATGGATGTAGAGAGAGAGAGAGCGAGATGGGGAGAGAGAGCGAGATGGGGAGAGAGAGAGATGATAGATATAAGAGAGAGACAGACAGACATGGATGGATGGATGGATGGAAGTAGAGAGATAGAGAGTGAGATGGGGAGAGAAAGCGAGATGGAGAGAAAGAGAGATGATAGATATAAGAGAGAGACAGACATGGATGGATTGATGTATGTATGTATGGATGGATGGATGTAGAGAGATAGAGAGCAAGATGGGGAGAGAGAGCAAGATGGAGAGATAGAAGGAGAGAGAGATAATAGCTAGATAGCTAGATAGATAAATAGCTAAATAGACAGACAGACAGACAGTTTGTATGTGTACAGAATATGAGCCAATTTGGATGCATAAATACCATTTTCCAAAGGGCATAATTACTAACATTGCAATTTATTCCCAAACAAACAAGTGTGATTCTTCGTGGAACAAATACTCACCGAAAGCCAAAATATCCACTTCCACCCGTAATGAGGACAGCTTCCTTGCTGGGATTCCCTCTTTCCATGTCTCCACCCACAATCCTAAGCTATAAAGAAAGAGAAAGCATGATATAACCTTGGTGCGCACAGCATGCAAGCCATAACATGTTTGTCTGAATTTTATTTTAGGTTTATGTGTTTTGTTTTGTTTTTTAAGTCCAAAGCATTTTAGCAAGCATTAAAATGCCTCTTTGGTCTTAAAAATCCTGCCTTCAGCCAACTTTTTCCCAAACTTTAATTGGACTCGACTCCTACTGGGGTGGGCCACGTTATTTAGGTTTACATAAAACCTCACCTGTTCAATGTTTACACGCCCCAAGCACACGAATCGCTCTCTGGGGCCTATTTTGCATGTGCCTCAAACATTCTTGTTTAATGATCTACTGGGGGAGATCCAAATTCCTCTGTCCTTGGCCAAGCAATTCACATTTCACTAAAAAAAGATAGGAAAAAGAGTCTAGCCAGAATCTCCTCTGGTTCTCCACAAACAGGCAGGTTTGGGGGATGATGGAAGCTATAGTCCAGCACGTTTGGAGAGGCTGATTTGGGAGGAAGGCAGGGTGGGCCGGAATAAGCCAACATGGTGCCCCCCGCCAGTGTTTTGAAATGACACCAACCCTGACAGTTGCAGCTGGAGAGCCAGATAAATATGAGCCAGCAGTGTGCAGCGACAGCTAAAAAAGCCGATGCAATCCTAAATGGGATTAACAGAGGGATCCAATCAAGATCAAGTGAGGTACTAATTGTTCCTTAATTGCTTATTTGTACCCTATGACTATCATTAAGCCCTGTACCTTATGATTCTTGTTGGAGCATATGCACCAAATAGCAATAGCAATAGCCGTTAGACTTACATACAGCTTCATAGGGCTTTCAGCCCTCTCTAAGCGGTTTACA